ACTCTTTTTTTTCAAGACAAACCTAAAGGCATGTGACAAAAACTCGACACAAATACAAAATCGACTCAAATACTACACGATAGTCAGTATGCTACAAGACTACCAATGAATGAGCATGTTTTAAACCACAGCTAAAACTGTTTTACTGTTCATTAATTTTTTTTGTGAATAGGCAATCATGTCATTAATATTGCTAGACTCTTTTTTTCTTCTTCAAGGCAAGCCCAAATGGTATGTGACAAATACTCAACACAGTTACAAAACCGACTCAAATACTACACGATAGTCTGTATGCAACCTGACTACCGATGAATGAGTATGTTTTAAACCACTACTTGGGCAACTCTGAAAAAGCTCCGAGGAGCAAAGATACGACATTGACGGGGAAAAAACAAAAACAAAAACCCAACATCTCCAATAAAGTCCACCTCCCGCCAGCAACAGTAAGTGTAGTTTCCTTCGAAGAAGTATGTCGGATAACCAGTATTGGGTTGCCACAAAAACCCAACACCGATCTCCAATAAATCAGAAATATTTGGTCAATTTGCTTTTAATAGCCATAGGTAATGTTAATGTACTCTTTGATGCCTTCTTTCAGTGGCGGACCCAGAATTGTTGGAGAGGTGTGTCGCCAATAAAATAATATAATAATTAAAAATTTAATTTAAAAAATAATTAGAAAATAATTAGAAATTAAATAGAAATTACTAGAAATTAATTCATAAAGTTCATGTTTACTAGAAATATCTATAAATACATTCATTGCTTATGTTGCGAAGCAAATTCTTTTCGATATATACAACTAAACAATGATTCATAAATTGGTCACTCAACCGATTTCAAAGTGCATTCCTTATTATCTTCACAGCTGAAATCTTTCGCAACTTTCAATTGCAACATGTAAAGTCAACACCAACTTCCAACAGCAAGTAAAACTAAAGGGTAAAAGAAAAGGGAGAAGTGGTAGTGGCTCTCAGTAATTAGAAACTAAAATGGGTAAGGGTGAGTTTTTTATTTTCAATAAAGGATGGGTCAAGGGGTGGAAACGTTGAGTTTCAAAGGATGGGGTTATGTTTATTTTTTCCATTGTTGGGTTGTGGTAGGGATGACAACCAAACCCATGGTCGCGGTTACACGAACTCCTCCGGCCCAGTCAACGCGGGAATCCTGGCGTTGACTGGATATGGGGCGGGTATGGATAAAACCCTCAAAAAGGTTGATGGGTATGGGGCGGGTATGGTTTTTGACTCTCCCGTCCCATACCCAAACCCGCCCACCAAGGATATTATGTTATATACATAAAATATAAGGAGTGTATTGTAACTTGTCAATCGAATGAAGGGTAATTAAAAGAAAAAATAAAGTGTTAAAATGTAATTGATGACAACCAAACCGTATTTTCATCCTCTTATGTATTAGTTCCATAATTTTGGGTGGGTAGTATCCATATTTGTCACCATATTCTTTTATTAAAGGTGAGTAGTTGTTGGGGCGATATTATCCATGGGTATCCGAAAACCGCGGGTATGGGGATGAGTTTGTAAGACCTTCCACTGCATGGGTATGAGACGAGTATGAGTTTGAATATTTGAAAATGGGGATGAGGTTGGTTTAGGCAAACCCGCCATATTGCCATCTCTAGGTTGTGGTGTAGGTTACTCTAAAACAAGCATAAATAACTTTGAAACTTATTTGAATTTACTTATTATTGTGTATTACTAATTAAGATAAATAACTTTATAACAAGAAAATCATTCTCGTATAATAAAGGTGTGTCGCTTATAATTATTTAAGGTGTGTCGGAAGTTCCGAATTAGATAAAATGTACCAAAAATATATAGGTACTTCACAAAATTTCCGGGTGAGGGTGTGTCGGACGACACACCCTGCCCTTTACTAGGTCCGCCTTTGCCTTCTTTGGTATGTTTTGATGCCTTTGAAGGTACAAAGCAACGTAAGAATGATTGGATCGGGCATTGGAAAACTCTAAAATCAGACAAGCTATAAAGAAAAGAATAAGAAGCTTTTATGAGAAAGAAGAGGTCTAAATACATATGAGTCAACTAGGAGTTGTTATATTATCTCAAAACAAGCCCATAGAACGAAGAATTTCCAGTTGACCTTTGACGCGCCACCAACACCAATGAAAGCATCCAAGAAAAGGGCAAAAATATTTAAATTGGGAAAGAGAAATGCTTTTCTTTCTTCTTTCATCTAATCCCGTCTCCAAACCTGTCTCTTACTCAGTGTTCTGTGCGTGAAAACTGAAATCGCTAATGGTTGGGAGTGGAGAGGAAAGGAGGTGAAAAAGCAATGGCGTCTTCAGTTTCAACTTTAACTAACGTGGCGTTGCTGCTGTAGGAGAGAGAAACTTCCCTCCTTTTTCTGTTCTACTCCCTCGTGATTAGCTTCCCTCCCCCACATACCCAACATTAAAATACACTCTTCTTCTTCCTCTTCTTCTTCTTCCCTACTAATAAGCTTTCCTTGGAACCCAACCCATCTCACTTTCCCTGTCTCTCTACATCCTGAAGAAGGGGAAAAAGCGTGAAGAAGAAATACCCACTGTGGGTGTAGCGAGCAGCAAAAGAAAATGCCCAGACATGGCGGGATTCCTATGACCAATTAGCCTCCGCTTTGGGAAGGTGTCGGTGGGTTCGTTAGTCTATGTTCGCCGCATCTTCTTCTTTCTTCTACTCCTACCCACCGGCTGCTCACTATCTTCAGTAATCCTCCAAAGGGTGACCTTATCTGTAAGTTAATTTTCTTTTCTTGTTAGATTCCCCATTTGGGTTTCAGCTTTCTACCCAAATTTGCAAATGTTCTTTAGGTTTCTTCTGCTGGGTTGCTGTTTGCTGCTGTAGTTTCATTTGTTAGCTGAAATCTTTAGACGCTCTTTCTTTTGCTTTGCGGGTCTGGTCTGAATTCAAAGCTGCTGGAATCAACGCCGCCTGCAAGATCTGGACTTGCTCTCACTGGAATATATTCTTCTGCGTTGATTTAATGGATTGGCACTCTCTTTTCCCCTTTTTGTGGTTTTCTGTTTTGGATTGACCCCATTTCCCTCGCAATTCGGTATCATCGATTAACAAACAACTGGTTGTTTAACGTTTTACTTTTGGATACACATAGAATTTTGGTGCTTGCTTTCACTTGTAAATTGCCGGCAGAATTCAGTAAGGCTTAATGTGAATCGTTTTCCCAGTTCTGCAGGGTTTAAGAGTTGCTGTGTGTGTAATCATCTTCACATATGGGAACTCTGTCAACTGATGACCGGGTGCTGGACCGGGATGTTTTGTACTTGTCGCTGGGGCTCAGGGAAGCAGGGAAAGGTTCATCGTGTAATCGATCCCCTCCTCGTGTTCTAGCACTTGTTTCGTCGCTTCTCGAGAGATTGGTTAAGAAGAATGAGATGTTACTGGAGAGTAATGAGATCAAAGATGTGATCACTGTTTTCCATGGCTTGAGAGCACCACCAGTGAGCATTCAGCAATACATTGAACGCATCTTCAAGTACTCTTGCTGCAGTCCTTCCTGTTTTGTTGTTGCACAGATATACTTGGATAGATTTGTCAAACAGACCAATGTACACTTGACGTCGCTAAATGTCCACCGCCTCCTCATCACCGGCATCATGCTTGCAGCTAAATTCGTCGATGATGCGTGAGTATTTTTTTTGTTTATGTACAAATATATTCTGATGATGAATTCAGTTTGTGAGTTAGTAATAATTGGAAGTAAACGTTTTACAGATTCTTCAACAATGCCTACTATGCCAAAGTAGGAGGAATAAGCACAGGGGAGCTGAACAAGTTGGAAATGAAGTTTTTGTTTAGTGTAGATTTCAGACTTCAGGTAAATACCACCACATTTGAGAGATACTGCTGTAATTTGGATAGATTAGAAGCCACGGACGTGCTTCAGATTGAACGGTCGATTCAAGCTTGTCGAATCAAGGAGACTTGGTCGAACAATGAGGATTCGACAACCACTTGTGCTCCTGCAATTGCAAGATGAAGATGGTTTCTGTAAGACTAGTGCCTACTGCACTGGTACTGTTCGATTGTTCGATCCCACATTGATTTGTTCATTGAAAGTTGGGCGTTGTAGCTAGGTAGAGCTGGACAAGCATATTGAAAGGTTAGCAGATTTTGGAGACATGTGAATTGTCAATTTACTTGCACTGGCATGTGGTGCCTAGTTATTCATTTCCCCTCGTTGATTACAGTCATTCCTTCTTGTTGTTGTATAGATTTGAGAGAGAAACTCCAGAGTTGACGGAATTTTATTGCTGTTTGAGTGTTTGTTTCTCTGTTCCTCTGATTTTGAACTTTACTTCTACACTGACGATTGGATTGTTAAAAAAGCATCGATCTTTTTAGTTGGCGGCTTAGCGCCACAATCGGTGCCGCATTTACTCCTGTCTGCTAGTGCCGACGTTTTCCATATCCACAAACTCAAATTCTCTGGTCTCTGCAATCTACAGCTATTCAACATGATAACTACAGTGGAGATTGTCGATTTCAAAAGTGCCAACTGCCAATCACATGTGAAACATGTCATACATATTCTACAAGGAAAACACAATTATCACAGAAAAAAAAAACTGCACCATGACGGAAAGAGAGCGCCTCCGTTCACATCACAGAGGAGCCGCTCATCAGTCCAAGCATATCTAGGAAAATTTACAACCCACTGCCCGTACACATATTGGCTTGCTCATGTAGACGTGGTCATTTTCACTATAATTAATTCACTTCTCCGCCGATTTTTCACTGTCCATCGTATCTCCAGAACCAGTTCGATCCAACAGAACTTCACTTTCTTCCATGGAGGATGGCTGCTTATCCACCCATACATACCGTACCAACATCCATACATATCTTAGATAAGCCATCTCTTCGTCTTGTCTTGAATAGGCCATGCGTGGTCGCTATGGCACCGAAGAGAGGCGATGGAAGAATTTGCAGGATCCAGAAAGTTCAACGATGGAGAAAGCTTCATCTAGGTGGTCTCTCGAGCGCAACCCAACCAAACTTCCCTTTCCGAAAATCGGCCAAGATGCGGAATGCTGCTTGGTGCGTGTCTCCACTGAACAAGTGAAGTGCAAGCTTCTGCACAAATCTGTACAATGGGGAAAGCAACAAAAGCAGACTCAGAGATGAGTAAATAACTAAATAAGCACCTAATACTCCATCAGAACCAATTCTTTACTAATTTCAAAAAAAAAAAAATCTTTACTAATTCATGCAAAAACAGGGTTAGATCAATCAAGTCTCTTGGATGATTGCTGATTGTACAAGTCAACCAAAACCGCCAAAAGGTTGAAAACCCCGTACGAGACTCCAAACCTTTTCATCTCAGGAGAGAAAAGGGGTGAAAACCCCTCCTAATAGATTATTAAAGGGACTAGTGGAATATTTACATACGTTTTACCACAGAGGCAATCATTATCAATCTTGTAGCGGTCCTGAAGCGCTTTTGCACCTGCAAAAAAGGAAGAAAGTTCCAAGTTAGAGGAAAGACAGTATGAACAGATGGACAGAAGTAATAAATAGCCTAACATACCAACTGATGGAATTCTTATTAGCATCTGCACAAGAACTGCAGCAACATCAGCGACGTCATAAGATCTCTCGCCGATGTCGTCACACATAGCAAGTTTTATGGCAGCCGTTTGATCGCTTATTCGCATCGGCAAAATGCCTGGAGAATCTAACAACTCCAGATCTTTACCAAATCGAACCCATCTTTTGAGGAAACATGCCACATGCAGTCAAAGCAGAAATGTGAGGATAAGTCTCTTGTCCTTCAACATATATTCCTGAAGCGCAAATTAACCCTTAGCTGGGAGGCTATATTGTAACAACTCGATCATAATTGTTAAAACAAAACTTTAGTACTCAGTTATCATTTGAGCTTTTCAGCATGCAAGGAACGCCATATGCTATAAGGAACTAAACCATAGACCGTTAATTCCTTCAGGCAGTAACTTAGCAGGAGGGTATTTACTCCAGGTAACTACTTACTTGAGATCTCTTGTGATTCCAGGTCTAGGGGCGGCAGGGCACATTCTACGCTTCAGTAGCCGGTTGATCAAAGAGGATTTCCCCACATTTGGATACCCAACAATTCCAGCACGAACCTGACCAAAGGAGGAAAAAGTATCTCTTATCAAAACTATCAATGATCATACTTTCATGTAATGGATACTGTAAAAAATATATTATTATGTAACGGACAATCCCGTTTGGATCATAGAAAAAAATATTATGAACAGGAATCAAAGAATTCAGCAAAAGTAACCGAAGATTGTTGTCGATAGTCGTTAGAAAACCTACTGCGCGAGGAAGAAGACCCTTTGCTCTGCGCTTGATATTAACATTCGCTGCCATATCCTTTGCTAACCTCCCAAGCTTCGTACTGCCCTACATTTAATCATACCCACAAGAAAGTTCATGGCTTCTGATATACATAAGCAATTGCTCACTTCAAGCAGAATGAGGATGGCTCAAGTGTAAGAAATAGTTACACACCATTCCAAGCTTGCCATTAGCGAAAATAACCTTCATTCCCTGCCTAGAGAAATAAGCTGCCCAAGCATTCCTATCAGCTTTGGATATCATGTCTTCTCTGTTCAAAACCAAAATCCTCCTCCTATTTCCGAGCCAAGAATCCATCTGGGCTCAACATGAGACACAGGAATGGAAGGTTGTTGAAATCCCTGAGCTCAAAACTAGAATGGAGCCACGGAATTCACAATCATAAATATTGAAAAGAATTCAAACCTCTGGATGGGTGGTGGACAAGGGAATTCTGGCGTCACGAACCTCAATCACCACATCCATCAGTTTCAGCTGCTCTTTCAGTTCCTTTTCAGCTTTCCCAATGTGACCAGGATACCACTGCATAGTTTCCCAGACTTCAGATAAGAAAACTTTCTTCAACATTCATTTCCTCCCCAGCCGCCATGGATAAAGCAACGAGTTAATTTTCAGTACCTGAACAGGACGAAGTGCCTTGGTCCAGTAGTAGAGGTCGGCCTCCATTTTAACCCAATCAATATCTTCGTCTCCTTCGACATCCACCAGTCCGTAACTGTTCGAAGAACTAGCACCTCCATCGCCAGACCAACTCGGAGCTTTCCCGCCGACAATCTGCCCAAGTTAAAGTAACCATCGAGGAATTTGTCGCTTTCAGACTCAAGGAAGCGAAAACGAAACATTACTGCAAAAGCGAAACAAATTCTTGCCTGGATGGTAGGAGGCGGAGACGAGAGAGAAGCAACGGAGGCGAGCGGTCCAAACCTAACTGACATGCGTCGGCTTTCAAGAGTGGGAATCCTGCTGATAGTTGGATTGGTACACCATAGCCCCGATACTGCCACCGCCATCTCTACTTGCTTCAGATAATAGGCGGCTAACCGAGGAAATTCACAGGATTATCGGAACCTTTTTGCTGGTTTATTAGCTTTCGAGCCTTGCTACGTTCAGATACCCGAAATTGACAGATGGGGGTTTGCCAATTGCCATTGGTGACTCGAGTCTCGATTCGAGCCATCAAGTAGGGCCGTAGGGGTGGTTATCGGTTTGATTTTAGTTAATCACTAGTCGATATAATGGTCAGTGGTGGACAAATAAGTCAAAAATTCCTTAACGAAAACCGAACCAATAAGGTTTATCGATTAACCATTATTTATCGGTTCGGTTAGTGATTAGTTTGACGGTTAATCGCTAACCAGCAGCAAACACCTTCTCCAAGTTATTGGCTTTTGTCATGTTGATGCTAACGAGCTCCACCATTGTGTTATTGTTGAGTGAAGGGAGAAGCATTAGCTAGTTGGGAATCAGACTTATCAGTTAACCACTAAACGCTAGGTCGGTTATTAGTTAACTAATAGGTCAAAAACCCCTACCGAAAGACAAACCATTAACGTCTTATAGGTTATTGGTTAAACCAATAACCAAATTTATCGGTTAGCTTATCTGTTAAAACCCCCTAACTCGTTAGCCACCCTAACTAGATGGGAAGGTGGGAATTTTAAAGGAAAATTTAGTAATTTAGCTGTAGTGTCACAATAGGGGAAGTGGGAAAGGGTAAAAAAAATATTTTTTTGTCAAAAGCAATTGAGTGTTGATTTTGTCACTTTTATGGTAAAATCAAAATTGTCATTATGTCCAAGAGATGCAATTAGCATTAAACTCCTCTTATTGTTTTGCATATAGGCATATAAGCCAAAATCATACTACTAATAACAAAACAACTAACAACATATATAAACTATTACTCTCAAAGTTTAATTTCCTTCCACAAACATTCGACAATCCTGCAAAATACGAGCAACAACATGCATGGGTGAACACCATCCTCGGCTTCCATACAATCTAGCATAGCGTTCCCTCCATATATGACTTAGCGCCACACTCTAGAGTAAGCACCCTACCATTGCCCTATCCTTACGACCCTTCCATTTATTAGCCCTCATCTTAGGTGCATAGGCGTCGAACTCCGGGATTCTGCATATCAACTGCAACACACTTATCCAAACACAGATAGAGAATGGACAAGTGCCAAATAAATTATCACATGATTCTTCTCTTCTAGGATAGAGAGGATGACTAACTTTTGCAATTAACTTACATGCATTCAACTTTTTTTTAGTGACTATATGATCCAAAATGATCAACCATAAAAGAACACTATGCTTGGTGTATATTGACTTGCCCCACACCAGATGTGGAGAAGAGACTCTGATAGTTAACTGTTTTTACACAATATTTGCACATTGATACTCCATTTCATTTGAGAGAATGGCAAGAACCTGTTATGAAGGGTTGCAGGGAGTCTCGACCCTTTAATACTCTTCGCCAAAGTCGTGATCCCGCTGCTTGATCTATAGACCCCACAAAGATCTCTGCTTGATTTGATATTTCCGCATCCATGCCACTCATAATGACCAAGCCTAAGCCAAGATATTCCATATATGTCGAGTGATACATGCATAGTTCCAAGTCTTAAAATCTTAAATCTCGAGTCCTCCTTCTAACTTCGACAAAACAAAAAAGTTCCAAGATATCGGAGCCCTCTTCCTCGACCCCTCTTCACCCACATCACATAAGAACCTGTCACATATTGCTTTCCTTTAATACCTTCATAGGCAGTAGGAATATTGGCATCCAGTACTGAAGGGTGCTTGTAATCACTAAAATACCAATTGTAAACGACCTGCATAGCTCAGAAAACGAGTCTTCCAACTTCTAACCCTTGTTGTAATTTTATCAACCAAAACCTGACAATCCAATGAACTTAGTTTCCTAAATCAGAGGGACACCAAGATACTTTACCAGCAATGACCCCAAAGGGAACCCTGTTTCTCTTTATATAAATCCCTTTTCTTTTGAAGATATTCTAGCACAATACAACGTACACTTTGCCATATTGCATTGATGCAAGAGACTGTATAAAACTGGTTCAGTAACCTTCGAATGCTAGCAACCGCTCGTACTAACCCATTAGTAAATACTAACAGGTCATCCACAAATCACAAGTGTGTTATATCTAAAGCTTTAGATCTCAGATGATAAGGAATTTGGTTATCTTTTACTGCCCTACCAAGGAGGAAAACAACTCCATGACAATGGTGAAATGTAGGGAGACAACAAGTCTCCCTACCTAAGACCCTTACCAGCCGAGAGACCCACACAACCCTTCATTAAAGGAAACACTAAAATTGGTGGTAATAACACAAACCTCAACTAGCTTAATAAACTCTACTAGGAACTTCATAGCTTATAGAAAAAGAAATAAAAATTTCCAGTTTACAGAATTAAAAGTTTGTTTGAGGTCAATCTTCAATACACACTTAGGAGTAATCAACTATTTATGATAATCTTCCACTAGTTCTATATCCATAAGGATGTTATCACTTATAGATCGACACTTAATAAAAGCATATTGAGCACTTCCTATTACTTTATGCAACACACTTGTTAATTGATTAGATAAAAGCTTTGACACACCTTTGTAAAGCACGTCACATCAAGAGATGGTCGTAAATCCCTCATTCTACCAGCATTAGGGATTTTAGGTATAATTAGGGCTGCAAATGAGTTGAGTTGCTCGCGAGTAGCTCGGAGCTCATATCGAGAAAAACTCATAGGACACTCGGCTTAATTTCTAATGAATTGGCTAGTTGATGACTCGTTTGTTAATGAGCCGAGCATGAGCCAAAGCCTCTTCAACTCAGTAAGGCTCACGGGCTCGACTCGTTGGCTCATTGATCTAGGCTCGTAAGCTAGCTCGTTTGAAGCTTGATAGTGTGGCTCATGAGTTAACTCGATAGAAGCTCTCATGATAGATTGCTAGTATTGCTCAAAATTTAAGTCGGTTGAACTACAAAGTCAACTTGATGGTGTGGCTCGCAAGCTAACTTGATTATATGTTCATTACACAGGTCTTAGACTATCCTAGTGTTAATGATATAACTCATTTGTTAGTTGTACTATATATTTCAACTTATTGTTAGTGAGATAACTTGTATACCGGTTTGAGACTTTGTATAGCGTGACTAAATATTCATCGCATATATGAATTGGGTATCATATCTACAATTAATTCATGCGAAACACATATATACTCCTACTCAAACATGAATTACTATGTAATTTAGAGAGTAAGTTTTGATATATGAATTGTTTTGTTGGATTGTATTAAAAAAATTCAATGATTTTTTTTATTCAAACTAATACTTAATTAATAACAATATCAAATGTGATAACACTCAAATTAGTGTTATTTGGAACCCATATTTAAGCTTATTTTAAGTTATTTTATGTTCTTCACTGCCAATATACTGTCAAATATACCTTTGATTCATTCCATGGATGGATCATCACTTCTAGGGTGTATTAAATGATATGTATGTATTAGGTACCAAAAGGTGCACTAGTGTAGAGAAAGTGGCAACAAGGGAGATCATGGCTGATGGAGCCAAGATCGCAGCCTCCGGTGCCAAGATCCAAACCATAAACTCCGAAGACAAGGGAGTGAAGTGGGGCACCAAGATCGCAACTTGCAGTGCAAAGATCTCGGTCGCGATCTTCTGCCTCTTGCCCGTGAACTTGACCTCAAGATTGCAGCCTCAAGTTCACGGCCATGAACTTTGGAGACAAGGGTGTGAACTTCAGGAGTGGCCAACACGGGAGAAGCATAGAGTCTCGACAGTCACCTCGCAGCCCCCGATTTCCAACAAGGCAAAAATGGTGACCCTCAAGATTGCAGCCTCTGCCCCAAAGATCTCGGTCGTGATCTTCAGGCCCTTGCCCGTGTCTGCGGAATTCTATAAATAGGGGACTCCTCCATCATTTCAAGCGGAAGAAGCTTGTTGATAATATATGGTGGACCGGTAAGCGCTCTATTTCATAACTGACACGCCAAAACACAACACCAATCTGCGACCAAGTGTAATCGCAGACCGGGAATGCAGTAACAGGCAAGTTATATTATCAACCCGGGGTCTAGATCTACTGCTTACTCAGTGATTCTCTGTTATCTAGCCAACTAGAGTAAGTGATTGTTGTTTAAACTAAAAGCAGAAATAAAGCAGGACATTATTCGGTTTTCTTAAGCAGGAAAGAGTCACTCGGGAATGAATCCCCCTAGCTCCTTAGTTAGGTTCAATTGCAATTTACCCTGGGTTGATTTACTGTTGATTAGACTGCGGAAGATCCGGCAGTAGCTTGGAATCTCTTAAGCTGACCAAGCCCTCTCAGTCTAACTACCCGGCAGACGACTAGTCTTCACCGGGATAGAAAGCTGAAGCAGTAAGAACAGAAATTCACTACTAGAATTAGATTCCAGTACAAAGCAGTAAATTGATTGACTCTCGCACAACCAATTCACCACTATCAATCAAGGAAGCTCTCTTAACCTAATCAGATTCTATCTATCATAGGTTAAAGCAGAAATCAAGAGAATTTGATCAAGATTCAATTGACTCAATAAAGCATGTCTCAATCGATTAAAACCAAACAGTAATATCATCCCAAGTCATTACAATCAATCCCCTAACACATAGAACTAGGATTCTTCATCCCCAAGTGAGAGAAGGGTTCTACTCCATAGAGAGAGAAGAGAAAACAAGAATCGGATTAGTCATACTCATAACGATGAGGATAATCTGCTCCGGGACGATGATTTTCACTCCTATGACGATCTCCAGGCTCGATTCGATGAAATCCAGCTCTAAGACAGCTTCTAGGATGTGTTCTTCGTACTTTCTCTCTCTAGGGCTCTGTTTTTGCTCTGAAAACACTCTTCTCTCACTTCTGGCTCGGATTAGGCTTTAAAACCGGGTTTCCCGAGTTGCACGGCCAGGGTGCACGGCCGTGCACTTCACCATTCTGGCCGTGCACCATGAAACGCAGCGTATCCCTTAAGTCGAACTCAGGCTTCTTGCACGGCCAGGTGCACGGCCGTGCAATCTTCAGGGCCTGCCCGTGCAGCTCCTCGGCATGAGGCGCACGGCCAGCTTGCAACCGTGCACGGCCGTGCAGCCTCCCTGGTCTGCCCGTGCAGCTCCCCAAAAACCTCGCCATTCGTCCGTTCTTCGTCCAATCGACCCCAGACTCGCTCCTAAGCCTTCATTCACGTACTAGGACCTGAAATATCACAAACAAGCACAACCTAGCGTGAAATCGGCCTAAAACACGAGAATCAACACCTCAAACGGTGTAAGAACGGGGGTAAAAACATGTGTAAATGACGGTCTATCAATAACCATAATTTTGTTATTGATTATTTTCAATGGTTTGGTCTAATACAATGCGCCACTTACTTAGACGCTTTAAAAGGAGATGCATGCCTAAGTAAATGGGGGTATTAAGCGATTATCATGATCCTCCCATTTCTTGGGGAAATCGGGTTTTAAGCGATCCTCGGATCCCCCCTTTTTCTGTCAAGAAGGCTGTGTTTCCAAGGAGATGTAAACCTCTCCTAAAAGTCTAATGAGAGTGCATGTATTTCTGTATATTTCTCAGTTGTTTCCTACCAAGAGAAGAAATTCAAGGAGAAGATGCAGAAAATCCATGAGTTATGCCCTGAGGCTGAAGGTGCGCAATGGTTGGATGGACATGACCTAACCATGTGGACTTTTCATAAGGACGGAGGTACCGAGTGGGGGTATTGCCACAATGAACTCAAGTGAGAGTATCAACAATGTCTACAAGGGGGTTCATGTACTGCCAATCTCTACCATTGTTGAGATGACTTTCTGGAAAATGAACCAATGGTTCGTCAATCGACTCCACTGGGCAAGGACGGATGAGGCACAGGGTAAGTTCCATGCTCATAAAGCCACATAAATAATGTAAAAAGATAATCGGAAGAACAGTCGGCACATTGTCACCGTTATGAATCAAGATGCTGGCGAGTATAGTGTCGAGACTGGGCCTTGGGAGGATGGTAGACGTGGGGGGCATCGCCATGAAGTGAAGGTCATTTTCAAGACAAAACTTGATGAGTGCTCTTGCCAAAAGTATCAGAGGAGAGGGTGGCTTTGTTCTCATGCAATGGTCGTAATCAAACGCAGGAGCAAAGATCCCCGTCACTTCGTGAGTCTATTCTTCACATCGACTCACTCAAAAACTACTACTGAAGGAGTTTCCGTGCATTGTCGGATGAAGCTTACTGGCTAGTGTACCAAGGAAAGTTGATCCTCCCACTGTTCGGGCAGAGGCATGAACCGGGTCGGCCGAGAGTAAAGAGGATTCAGAATGAGATGTATCAAGGTGGAAGAACACTGTGAGGCCCACGGCGTTGTTCCATATGCAAAGTTCCAGGGCATGATAAACAAAATTGTCCTGGACCGATGGACTGCAAAATCCAGGTCCTTATGTGGTGAACTCAGCTAATGCGACATAGAATGCTTGATAATTTGTAATATATGGTGTATAAATTTTTCTTCAATCTCATCATTATGATGTTGGAACACTCATTTTATCATTAAACATTTAAACCTCATTTGTGGTGTGTTTGCTCAATACTCTATTATGTTTTTCGTACCGCAGACCTCATTTTATCATTAAACGAAATAGAAATAACACTCAAGGAAGGTTTAACTTGGGCATAATAATCTTAAAATAAGTCAAGTACATAGAACTGAAAAATAAACTAAAAACAACAGTCAATGATAGAAACTCAAAATAACACTCAAGGAAGGCCTTGTGACTCATGGGGTTCCAGCACTTTCCGACTCCTTGTACGACGGGTGTGGCCATGGGTGTCTACGGTGGCATATTTTGACGTGTCGTTGATGTTAGGGGGGCCGACAAATGTTTTTCCCCGACTGAATCCTAGCAAAAAAAATTCCCTATGACATAATGAAGAAACAAAATTATGTTGATGAATTTTTTCATAGATTTACACAAATAATGAACGATTTAACTACGAAAAATAATAGGTGATTAATAATTCATGGATAAGATTTCACCTTTTATTACAATCAAAATAAAATTATGATCACAGGACATGCAATGAAATAAAAAATCGAAATCACTTTAGCACGACATTCTGTAAGTTCATGAAGAAAATATTTCAATAGATTCTTAAAAAAACACTAAAAAGCAATTACTTAATTGAAATTTACTCTAATAACAATGGTTTAACTACAAAAAATTAATAACATTTAACATAATTTATTGATTAGATCAAACATTTTCTTGCATAAAATGTAATTAAGGTTACCATAACGATGATGGGTTTTCTTGCAATATGTAATTAAGGTTACCAATGAGGGGGTGAGGTGTAAAGAGGAAGAGAATGATACCAGAAAAGTAGTAAAAACTTGTCACCAACCTGATTCGAACTCTGGCCAACGAGTAATAAGGTACCCAAAACCAACTTTCCAATCAGTTGGGCTACTAGCGAGTTATTCACATAGTCAGTATTATAAGTTATTAAAATCTTAGGAGGGGCCATGCCCCCCCCCCCCCCCCCTCCTGCCAGCAAGCTGACTCCGTCCCTGCATGCTATGGTGGCATCGATCCATGGAATGTGGCTCTTCCCGGGTCGAGCGGGGGACATCCACACTTATACGGTGCGGAGTAGGCAGCCATTGATGCTGAGGGTGATTAATAGGCATGAAATTTTGTTGGGAACTCGAGGAGGAACCATCATGCCATGTACCCGAGGATGTGCCGTCGTGATGGTAGCTCATTGGGGCTCATGATGGTAGGTCGAACGGGGAACTTGATGGTAGGTAGGATGGGCCTCGTAGTACGAGCTTGGTAGGGGAGATTGCTGATAGCTCGGACGAGGAGATTGTTGATAGCTCGGTCGGCCATTGTAGTATGAGATCAGGTATGTAGTCGGACCTCCATCGTGGTACGTACTCGGAACGCCATCGTGTGTCGCATCCAAAGGTGGAGGCACTTTCCACACCTCAATCGGCGTTAATTTGGGCACGTTTGGTCTTTCCCGAGCGCTCTTGTCTTGCCTTTTTCAGTATGGTGGTGGCGGGTTGAGAACATCAATGGATACCAGAGGTTTCTCCAATTTCTCACGCCAATTAGCTTGACCTTGGCGACCATCTCGGTGGTGAAAAGTCTTTTGACTGTCGGGGAGGTCCAGAGGCATGCATTGTTCCCGACCAAATTGACATAAGCATCGATCCGGCAGGTGACACTCCATAATATGGTGACAAATGAGGGGGACTCTTGTGAACTATTAAACGGAATGCCCAGGAAATTTATCCAAATGCTAGTGAACGATGTTCTCAGGGTAGGGGTCGTATATGATGTACAAAAGAAATGACCAACTTAAGTTAAACGAAGTTGTATAATACATATCGTAAATAACAAATGAAGTTCCGATTATTTAGTTACCTCTCCTTCCCAAAGTCTCTCTAGCCTCCTCCGATACTTTGCCAACTTGTGATCTACAAGGTTGTCACATGTTGTTTGCCCAACCCACCTTATTATTAAGGAAAATAATGAAATGTTATAACTGAATAATTATCTATTGTGTTATGGAAATCATGAATGGGTACGAGAAGTTTACCTACAACCATAAGTTTGGCCTCTTAGGGGATGATTGATTGGCCAATCCTTGTCGGGACGTTGGACCGGTGCAATCCATGGAAAATGCTCACAAGCCCAAAATTGGACGATGAACATCGCCCTGCCAACCTCCTTCACAGCTTTGAGAGATGCATTACACAAATTGTGGTAGATATGAGCTAGGCAAGCGAATGCCCAGCCCAAATTCCCCATCTCATCCCAATCACCAAGGAGGATCCTCAGCCACCCACAACTAATTAAATTGTTGGATTTCTTGGGGAAGAACTCTCCTCCGATCATGCCTATGAGATAGACACGAGCATATCTTTCCTTCACCGCCTCGATATAAAATTATCAAATTTACTTTGTAAACCACTAAGTAAGTTAACAAAATAAAAAATGACAAATGAGGAAGAATTGTATGTACCCGGTGATTGTTCCAAACATTGAACATTGGTTAGGTTGGTCGTACAACACGCTTGGATCATTCGTTCCTTGATCAACATAATATCGTTGGTTATATATATCTACGTCGTCTCCAACCTACGAGAGAATAACAACAAGGTTAATTAGTTAGTATATTGTATATAGATTAATTAAAAAAATTATAAAAACAACAAAATTTTGGTAAAATGAGTACGTACCGTTTGATAGTCATCATGGAAAATACTCTCGTCTTGGCACCAATCATCCATTTTTTCAATAAGTTGGACAGAGTTTCGACGGGTTTTGAGGAGAAACCACTCCCCTAGAGAACGATTCGCGTTAACCGATGTGAGAAACCACCCCTTCGTCCAGCTATCTTCAATCCCTGACGCGGATCGATGCGTTGGCGCGCAGTCCGCCGTTGGATCGCTCCCTTATCCAACGGTTAAGGAAACTGCCGCTTCCCTAGGCAGTTCCCAGGCTGCCCTAGCGGAGACCGTGCCTTCCCCACGCGGTTTCTCTGTAAACCGCTTCTTTCGCCTGCGTTTTCTACACAAACCGCACCTTTGACGCGCGGGTTTCAATAAATGGTGCTATTTTTGGAATTTGTGTGGGTTGGATTCCATTTTTGTAAAAAAAAATGGTGCTATTCCTGGAAAAAAAATTCCAAAATGTAGAGACCGTGCTCATTTTGCGTAAAAGTTAAAATGCTAACAAGCCATTTTGTTAGCAGATACTAACTCGTAACTGAAATGGTTGAACTAGTATCCATCTTATAGACAAAATTATGGCTACTGAAAATATTTCGATAAAACTAGAAAAATTAGGAAGAAAAATAGATGAATATCAAGAAATTCTAATAAATATAATAGAAGACAATAATAAACAATTAAGATCAATATTAGAACATCAAGGTAATGAAAAGCAAAAAGATATATATTCAGATTTAGAACTCGCTAAGGATACAATTACTAAAATAATAGCGGATATAAAACAAAGAGAAATAGCAATAGGAAAAACAACTCCAAATTCTAAAGAAATAGTATTACCGGTGGAAGATCTTAAGGAAATCATTATTAAACTTCACAAAATAATAACTAAATTAGATAATAAAAGGAGCATTACAATTGAAGATATAAAAGAATATTTGAATGAGCATAAATCGGGAAAATCTAGCCCATTAACTATCATGGCACCCTACAAACTTCTATGACTAGTATTGACGAACAAATTAATAAATTAAAAGATTTACTAGCCGCAATTACTATTGAATCAGAACCAGAGATAGAAGAAAATATAGAAAACGATAAAATAGTTCTTGACTATAGTAGCGACGAAAACCCCTATAAAAATTACACAAATGCAAATTACACAAAAACTGAAACTGAGGATCAAGCTGAAGCATCACGGAAGCGTGATTTTAATGACTATAAAGATGGTCAACTAATTTTTGATGAATACTTATATAAAAATTCGTATACACCTCGCAAAGGGGGAGGATGGAGTAAAATACCTCAATCTTACATACCAAAATATTCAACCACTAGTTTTAACAGTCCTGATATATTAGATCTTGATTGTTGCGTCAATCCATTAAAAGAATTAGAAGACTGGAAAAATCGAACAGGATTACTAATACAAACTAATGAAGATCTAAAGAAATTACATCCTAATGAAATGTTTAATTTCTTAATATATAAAACAACTGGGGCAGTTTATCATTATCTTAACAACATGGATATTCCTACTAAGACAATGTTATATGGAACAACGGATGCGACCAATACCTTTGAAAAAGTCTTAAATGCAATAACTCATGAATTCTTAGGACGACATCCTCGAGAAGATAAACCAAACACAACCGTAAGTCAACAAGCTATTTGGCATTTAACTAATCTTAGAATCTGCAACATGTGCTTCTTAGAACCATTTATTTGTGAATTCAGAACGCACTATTATCAAGTCACCCCTTCGATAAGAAAAGAGCTAGATAAATTACTCTATGCTAAATTACCACCTAATGTCTCTAAAAAAGTCGAAGCTATCTTTAATGAATCTTTGACAAAAGAAGAAATACCAGATACATTAGGAGGAAGAATATTAGTTTTACAAGAATGGCATAAACGAGCTTGTAATAAGGAAAAACTAAAGAAACAAGCTAAAATTAAACTCTGTTGTGAACAAACAATGGACAGAGTTGGAAAGTATGGGTGTAATGATGAACGTAAGATCAATAAAACTCGAAAAAAATATAGAAATTATAAAAAAATGGAGAAAAATACCTTATAAAGAATATAAAAAAAATAGGTTCAAAAAACCAAATAAATATTTCAGAAATAGAAAACAGTTTAAACAAAAATCAAGACAACAAGAATACTGTCCTAAGGGAAAAACGAATTGTAGATGTTGGTTATGTAACGAAGAAGGACATTACGCAAATAAATGTCCTAAGAAAAATACTAACACTAGAAAACAAGAAGTCCTTAGATTAGCTTACGATTGTGGTTTTGAACCAATCGAAGAAACAGATTTTGAACTTTCCGATATAGAAATTATTGAATATATTTCAACCTCAGAAACCTCTTCAGATGAGTCAGAAGAAGGTATTAACTAAGGGCAATCCTAACGCAACATTTATTAAAATTGAAATAGAGACGAAAAATTTCTTAGCATACATTGATACAGGGGCAACCTTATGTTTTGCTAAAAAATCAACCATAAAAAAATGGAATAAACTTGAAAAACCTTTAAAAATTATAGTGGCAGACAAATCTATCCATGAAATCTGGTATGTAAAACAATATGTACCATTAATCATTGAAAAACATATCTTCACAGCTAAAACAATCTATCAACATGACTCAGGACTAGATATAATAATAGGAAATAACTTTCTAAAATTATATCAACCATTTATCCAAAGGATTAAAACAATCAGCCTTAGATGTCCTAAAACAATAGACCAGGAATCTAAGATAATCACAACCAAAATAATCACAAAAAATGAAGTGTTAAAAATTGTACTTCAAAACCTCAAAAATAGACTAGAATATATACAAATTACCTATAGCATTCTAGAGGATACTTTAGACCAGGTGTGTAGTGAACATCCTTTAGATAAAGATAAAAATACCAATCAAGAACTTATCGAAATTAAACTAAAAGATCCTAAAATAGAAGTTAATGTCCCTAACAAAATTCAATATAACCCAACGAGATGTAGAAGAATTCCAAAAGGAATGTTCAGAGTTAGCAGAAAAAGGTATAATACGAGAAAGTAAAAGTCCTCACAGTGCACCAGCCTTTTATGTAGAAAATAGTAATGAAATCAAAAGAGGAAAAAGAAGAATGGTAATAAACTATAAAAAACTAAACGAACAAACAATAGGAGATAGCTATAAACTACCTAGAAAAGACTATATATTAGAAAGATTAAAAGGTCAAACGTGGTTTAGTAGTTTAGATGCTAAATCTGGATATTGACAACTTCGTCTACATGAGAATACCAAACCTTTAACAGCCTTTTCATGTCCACCACAAAAACATTACGAATGGATTGTTCTCCCATTTGGAATGAAACAAGCACCAGCTATTTATCAACGATTTATGGATCATGTCTTAGAGGGTTTCCAATCGTTCTGTTTAGCTTACATTGATGATATTATCATTTTCACAAATCAATCAGAAGAAGATCATTGTGAAAAGATCTTGATAGTCGTACAAAGAATAAAAGAAAAAGGTCTAATTATCTCTAAGAAGAAATCAAAACTTCTTCAAAGAGAAATTGAATATCTTGGTATGAAGATTAATAATTTTGGCGAGATTGAGTTGTCACCAAACACTAAAGAAAAAATCGATAAATTCCCAAACCAACTTGAAAATAGAAAACAAATTCAACGTTTTCTTGGATGCTTAAATTATATCAGCGAACAAGGATTTTTAAAAGATTTAGCAAAAAAAAGAAAACATTTACAGAAAAAGATTTCTGACAAAATCCCTTGGTCATGGAATGATCAAGATACAAAAATAGTTTTATTAATGAAGGAAAAATGCCAGCATTTACCAAAATTATATAACCCTTGTGAAAACGATTTTCTAATAATTCAAACGGATGCCTCTAAGGACACTTGGGCAGGGTGTATGTTAGCATTACAAAATGGCAAGGAATTATTACAAATGGACAATTTTGGTAATGTCAAAATAGACAATAATGAGGCTACTGTCTCTGGCCAAAAGCCTAAAGATTATCAGTCTTCGGACAATATTATTGAACTTTCAAGTTCTCAATCATCAGTTCCTTTCAACAGTGATAAATATTCTAAGAAATTATGTAAATATATTTCTGGAACATTTACCACCACTGAACAGAACTATCCGATCCACGAATTAGAGACATTAGCCTGTCTCAGAACATTGGAAAAATGGAAGCTTGAATTATTATCTACAAGGTTTGAACTTCAAACCCACTCTAAATATGTAACAGGTTTTTGGAGGTACAAGCTTCAGGCAGATTTCAACAAAGGAAGATTAATCAGGTGGCAGCAACAACTCCATTACTACAATCCTTATCTGAAGTATATCAAGTCCAGCAACAATCCATTCACAGACACACTGACTCGAGAATGGAAGGATTCATAAAAACCCTCATCAATCAACTAAAGCAGAAGCAGGAAAAGAGTGCAGCACTGGAACAACAACTTCTCCTTTGCAGGGGGGAGGAAGAAGCAATAATTCAATCAATCGACGTCATTCAGCAACAGTTAAAAATCAACTACATCAACGTCAGTACATTAACAACTAGCTCCATTAGTGAAAAGCCATCAACACTTACCACAGAACCTGCTGAAAAAGAAAAGTCGACAGCAACATCCACCACTACCAGCAATAATATACAAAAGACGACACGATGGGCAGACATCGTTGAACAAGAAGAAAAAGAAACAAAAGATTCCCACTATGAAGAAGACGACAGAAAAGGCAGCAAATGGTATGTCATATTTAACGGACCATACCGAGGAGTATATCATAACTGGGCCATCGCTAGCCAGCACATCAACGGCAAACCAGTCCAACATCAATCATTTAAAACAAAAGAAACAGCCGACGAAGCATATAGACAATCATACAAGGTGATGGCAATGAAGGAACCAGTCAAGAATCAAGAGCAACAATCGCAGAAACTCGTCATGAAGATACCCAGTATCAAGAACATCCTAACCACCAAGGAAAAAGAAGAGCAATTAAAACCAATCTTTCAGAAGTTCATATCCAACTGGGATATGATTATCAACTATGAAGAAAAACACACGACCATGGGTTTCTACCCCGTCAGTCGAGGAGGACCCAAAGCAGTAATCACAGAAGAAGCATCACCAGAACTCTCTTTTGAGTTCCATCAATATGGATTAATCGACACTATCTACACTACAACCATGAAGGTATTTGAATACTTCCCACAAAGAATGAGGAACGTAATCAGAAGATATCTCGAGCTATTCGCCAAGGAAAGAGAAATATTTCTCAAGTATACAAGCAGCTACCCCGTATTCGATCAAGGCAAACTATTGATCGGATCAAAGGCAGTTATCCTCATGGGAGTATCAAATCATGATTACCCTATCAGAGATGACCTACGAGACTATGAGAAGAAACCAGACTACCAAGTAAAGGGTCTTCTTGCAGTATGCAGAGCATTAACTAAAATTGAACCGGAAAGTCAGATTAAAGTCAATTACAGCAGCCCCGATGCCATCATCACCAGCAAAACAAGAGGAAACATGACCAAAGAAGAATGGGTAATCATAACAGATAAAATTAAGGAATTCACGGAAATTAATGGGAATCTATCAGCTCTTCCCATTCAAATCAAGAAACAGTTATGCAATGAGCTTACTATCTATGAAGACCATCTCTGTGAGTGGTGTGCATCAACTGACGAAGACATCAGTGGACCAGCAGACCAAGACTGACAGAAGCATGTGAAGAAAAAAGAATCAAACAAAAATGGAATAAAACGACAAGAAAAGGTTGGCCGACTCCTTTAAAAAAGTCGTGCATTATTGTATTTCATCAGCTTTCTTATCGCCTCATGCATTTTCTTTTGACGTGTTAGCTTTACGTCCCTGTTGTACAAACGTAAGCAATGACGATCTTGTATCTCCTCTTAGCTCTATATAAGAGCAAGAGTTTTCAATGAAATAAGGCAGAACGAGTTTGGCCATAAAAATTGCATGTTTACTCTCTCCCTCTAGCTAGCTAGTTGTAAGGCTTGGATCCACTGATCCTGGAGGCCACAATCATTCGATATAATCAAACGCACGGAAAGAAGCTACAATCATCAAGCGATCATCAAAAAGCTCAGAGTTTCATCAGAAAAACAAGTCAGGTATGTCTGATAATCCTACCTCAAGTTATTTTGACTATTTAAACAAAAACGATAATGAAAACTACTTCTTAGATGGTGTTATAGACATTAAGAAAATTAGAGAAAAAACTAATTTTACTATTTCAGAAACTCAGAACTTTATCACTAAGTCTTTTTTATCAAAGCTCTTTGATAGAGAAAACATTATTAAATACGGTAAAATGATAGGTGAAGTAGCAGTCCCTATTGATCAAACTAAGGGTGATTTCCTAATCCAAGTAATAAACAATGAACAAATCAGAAAAAGATTAGCTAAACTAAGATCAGAAGAACGAAATAAAATAGCTTATATTCATATTAGTACAATTCAAATTATATTAAAATCAACCATGAAAATAGGAATTGATGCACCCATGGAACTAGAAATTCGTGATGATAGGCTCCTAAACGAAGAAGAAAGTATTATTGCTAAAGGAACGGGAAATTTAGGAGTAGGAATAATTAAATTTGACATTAACCTACAACAAGGATTAAGCCTGGCAGATGGTAATCTTGACTCTTCTATCATTATAAAATACGAATTAAAAAGAGAAAATTTTATGAAAGAAAATAGCAAACCATTTTCAGTAACTTATCAAATAAACTATGCATTAACAAATAGTCACCACAGCTTAACCTTCAAAAATAAAGAAGTAATTACTATAGAAGATTTATTTAAACCTTTAATTCAACTAGAAGCACCATTAAAGGCTGTTAAAATAGAACCTAGTCGACCATCGATAACCCAAGATCAAAGACGATTAATTAAAACACAATCAGAGAGAATTAGGCATATCCCAGTAATTGAACAAAATTTAGAACAAGAAGAGATAACTAATAATCAAGTAAATAAATTAATTGAAGAGATAACCAATAATCAAGTAATAAATAAGCTAGAAAAATTACAACATTCAATAGCAAATCTAGAGAATAAAATCTAAATATGCCTACTAACTATCATATAAATAAATTAATTGAAGGATTAGATGCTATAAATCTCACCTCAATAAATGATATCAGCACAGTCACACAAGAATTGACTTACTTTGCCTCAGAAATTGTAGAAGAACAAATGAGTATTGGAACTACAGAAACATTAGAAGAAACTATCTCTAAAACCGACTTAATTACTGATATAGTAACTAGCTTAACCAAAATTAAACAAAGATTACAAAATCAGTAAGTCAAGTGGAAAACATGGTATCAGAGCCGATCAACTATCCGAATTATTTAGTTCACAAAGACTTGGATATTAGTTCATACACTTTTGGATATCAGTTAGTATATACTAACAAAAAGACCAGTTAGCAGATTAGCCGGGTTGCTCATTTTGCATACTCTAAGGCTAGACAACTTTACAAGCGAGCTGACTAAATAATGGTACTTTGCTTTAGAGGAGGATTTAGCCGCAGCTGCCATGTCCAGAAATTGACGATTTCATCAAGGTCCAAGTTATTTACAATTGGTTAATTTCATTGGTCCAAGTTTTAAAACAATGTGATGATCATTACTAATTTTGTTGCTGCTAGCATTCAATTGGGTCCTTAAGAACTATTTCTTTTCTCTACATATTTCTACTCTTGGGTTACTGGTTCTACAGCTGACATCATTCAATTGCGAGAATAATCTTATGTCGATTATGGTTATGGTTTTCTCCAAATAAATTATGGTTATGGTTAAATACCTTATTCACGTTGTTTTCATTCTTTCCCGTGCTTAGTGATGTCATTTTTAAAGCTGCAAACACTTCTTTTTTCCTTTTGTTATGTTTTTAATATGTTGCTTAAAAGTTATGTTTAGGGTCCTTTGAACGGGTAAAATACAAATGGATGATTAATTTCAGTGGCAGAGCCACGTTGTGGCTAGGAGGGGCTATAGCCCCCACTCAACTCTTAAAATTGTGTACATTTACGTGTAAATTTTGAAACAAATTTGGAAAATAGAATAGGAGGTAAGGCTTCAGCTCCCCTCCCCCCGGGTGATTCAGACCCTTTGAACGTGAATTCCCCCCCCCCCCCTCGGATTCCTGGCTTTGCCACTGATTCCTTTTAAATTAGTTTCTATATTAACTGTAGTGAAATGGTTCGTGGGATTCGCCTCAATTCAGGTTTATGTTGATTGTAAGTTGTTGTTTACTGACTAAAGTAAGCAACTCTTGGAAATGAATTGCAGAACTTTGGATGTGCCAAATGTCACAAGGGAACTGGTTTTTGCAAAGTTGTACAAGAACAAGAATGGATCGAGGTAAGAAACGGAGTTTGGGTCACTTTACTTCAAAAGATGGATCCTAATAACACTATATTCTCTTCCAAGCTGGTTTCACTTCAAGAGTCAAGTTAAATAAAGTTTCTCCATCTTGCTGGTGGAATCAAAATCAAAGGCAAGGTCAAACCAAAAAGAATATCAATTTTTTGTCAATTTTTCATGGACAATGTTGATCTTTGTAATGGACTGAACTCAATGTTGGCAAAGTGGTCACAGTTTGGGCAGCCAGCTTTTGTTAGGTCTTACATTAGAGTTATTCACATTTCATATCAAGTCATGATTTTCTAGATAATGGTTTCTGTTCCTGTTGAACCAAATATGTTTTTTATTGTCGTACTTTAATATCAGAAAAGTTAAAATTTCAAATAGTGTTCTTCAAACTAATAACGCATAGGTCTTTATCAATATTTTTTTTTTCTTAGGTGAATGCCAATCAATGATATACATTGGTTATGCATATGGACACCATATTTTTTTTCTTAGTTGAATGCCAATCAATGATATGCATTGGTTGTGCATAGAGGCACCTTGCAACACATTCATTATGTTGATTGCAATTTATCAAATTCATGCTATCTTCAACCAACTGGCGTGCTATAAGCTATTTGTAAATATGTTGGTAAATTATTGGATCCATCAGATACTATGCGAATAAAATCGTTCTGTTAAATGTACCCCAACTGATGGTCACGTTTTCTTCATTTTGCTTAGAAATAAGCTTTGCAACATACAATTCCAGTCCAGAATACGGTTCTAATAAACAACGCAAACACGAGTAGACAGTAGCAAGGAACGGGGGGACGCAAGATGAAGGAATACATCCAGTAGTGTAATTAAGAGACTGGCCCGTCATCAAAAATCAAAGCAATCAAATGCTATCGCTGAAAAAACTTCATTTACAAATGAACACAATAGTGGGCATAGCTCACTCTAGCATGCCACTAGGGCAGCCTTTACACTGGACAACTGAATCTAACTATCTGGTATGGGCCCTAGGCACCATGGCTGACCCTACTGCTACTGCTTATCCTAATAGTTGCAGAGCTCAAAACCCTAATCTACCATCTGCCTCGCATCAAAGCTTGGAGAGGGTTTATCAACGGCAAGTGCTCTGGCAAAGTAATCCCGGATGTCGGGCAGAATTCGCTTTATCAGATGAGAACGCCTGCACATTCCAACACACTCATAGTTAGCGCTTTATCAGATTTCGGATTGTTCATGAAAATGCCGATGAAAGATGGTATCACATACCATGGCTTGGTGCTTAGTTCTTCAAAGTGCTGAAATATGTACAGTATGCACGCTTCTCTCAAGGTCATGGCGTTAAAGTTTTCCGACAACTCGTACATGTGAGTGATGTTGTCTACAGAGGTGTCCTGTTTGATGCATGACAAGGACGGTAGAATACATTAGATCACCACTTGTTGAGAAACATTCTCAATGGTTTTACCAGCAAAGGGGAAGTGCTTACTGACCTGAGCAATTGCATACTCGCAGAGGCGCTTTAGACCGTCCAGGAGATACTGATCAGCAGCTTTCAGGAGTTCATGAGCAACATCTATATTGACTTCAACTGACCCAGTGTATATGAACCTGGAAGCAAGCAAAAGCAATCAAGACTCAAGAGTTTAGAATCTAAAGGAGCTTAATTTATTGACGTGCCTCGAAATTTAATGGATGGCTAAGTTTTCAAACATCACACCTCATCATTAGATCGAAAACATCCCATGTAATGTTTGGGATCACAACATCTTTAGCTTGCCCCTCCTGCAAATGACAGAATTACAAAGGTTATTTCCATCACCAGGAAGCCAGGTTACGTTCAGTGGCAAGAGAATTGGATCACAAAAAGGATTGTAGGCTTCAGTAGCGGCTCACCTTGTAACCCCCATCAAACATTGCACGGAAAGTATCCGATGAGGCAAGTAGACATATTTTGTGAGCATAGAATCGTTTGCCTGACAAATGAAAATCATGCACACAAAATGGTCTCAGGAAACTAGGCCACAGTAAATAACAAGGGACATACAAGAATGAATAAATGTAAAGGAAATAGAGAGAACAAGAAAAGGAGAAGCATTTTAAATGTCCTTACCCTCAACTAAGAAGGTAATATCAGATAGTGTTGGACTGTTGACAAATTTTTCGCCCAAATATACCTATAGCAAAATAACATGAAAACAAATTAATTTTGGTCTACATTTGCAACGAAGGTATAATGACGGCAAATAAATACCATATAAATATAAATAAACTAATCGAGACAACTAATATACTTGTGGGGTGGCTGATGGAGCCGTATCCACGGGAAGGATTGTAGGAGCTTTGGTAGCCAACTTGTACAAAGCAGCTGCACCCTGATTTTGATGCTTTAGGTTTCCTGAGTCGAGAAGTCCCAACAGAAAATCTAACCCTGTAAGGAATGTCGCACGAGAATGAGAAAACCAAACCTTAAAGAATTACGAGTAAGAACATAACTTTACAAACAAAAGAAGGCAAAAATAGCTACCATTGTTATCAAGAAAAATGGCTTTTCGATCAGCAGGAGCACAAAGATGTGCAAGAGCCATAGCGATTTGTCTCTGCACAGGTCTCTCTACAACTCGCATCGAATATAAAAGGCGCTTCAGTACCTGATAAAAAAAAGTTCAAGACTAATTGAGAGTGCTATTTACAAATGATGCTCAAAGTTACTCATTTAGGAAGAGGCAAATAAATACTGAGATCACGAAAAGGATTAGGAAGTATAGAACATGTGAGGGACTCACTCGACCATCAATATTCTCTTCTATTCTTTTCAATGTTTTCGAAACACATTCCCTCGTCTGCTGCAATCATTTTCACACTGAACGAGTTAGGGTAAAAGTACATGAAATGAAATAATCATTGATTTCAGATATGAAGTGCATAGTAAGCTTACTTCAGACATGAAATCCCCATCTTGGAGTTTTTGAACTGCTCCAACCTTGATAAGGTCAACAATATTATCCTGAAAAGGAAGGATTTAATGTGGTCAGAGAGTGACAAAATGGATTCCGCAGAAGAAATATTCAGAATCAAACACAAGGCAGCAGCTTCAAATATACCTCATTATTGGCAAGGCCAAATAGAGTAAATGCAGCATTATGCTGCAGAGACCCGTTCTTAGCTTCAAGAAGCTTCAAGAGTGGTTCTATGCCACCATGATATACAATACCAACTTGGTTGTGTGTTTCCTATACCAAAAACAAAAATAAACATCTCAATCACAGAACACAGAAATGTAGCTACAAGGAGTGTTTTTCAAAGAACTTGAAGCATAAGGCATGCCACTGACACAACACGACTGCTATAAGTCACAAGATCATTCGTCAACACGACTGTTACATTCTCCATGCAGACATTAAATGACAAATAAGTAATCATAACGCTTGGATAAACCAAGTGAGTAAAGGCATATGGGATAACCTGTGCCAACCTCCCTAACGCAAATGCTGACATTTCCTTAAGCTGCACATCTGAAGCCTCGAGCATATCAATCAAAGGTGAAATAGCTCCTCTCTGAACAATGTGCACCTTTATAGAATATAACATTGACAAGATTAGAAAGAAACATCACAGGCTCCAAACTGAATATACAATTTATCAGTGCATACAGCGGATTGACTGAACCAATTACTCCTACACATTTGATTTTATAACAACAGAAATGTAGCTCAACCATCTACCTTGCAATCAGAATCAGCCGTAGCAAATTGACCTATTAACAAGGCTGCTTCTCTTTGGCTCTCTGAACAAGCCGAGCTGTAAAATCATAAGCTAAGTAAGCTATAAAATAAAAGGAGTTGAAATGAACACACGTAGGTTTAGGAGATAACATTACTGAAGATAAATCTATAACAATTATTACCTCAGCAAATTAATAACTGGTTGTAAAGCTCCAGCATGGAGAACCTTTTGCTTAATATGTGGAGATGAATGGACAAGATTTCCTATCGCCCCAACCTACAATAAATTTGAATGTCAATTTGCAAGCAATACTTTTTTTTTTTTTGGTAGAATGCAAGCAATACTTAAAATAACATGAAAAGACAAAAAAACAAAGTAGAGCTCATTACTTACTGCTTCAAAATGTACTTTTGTATCCTCTGATTCAAGCATCAATACAAGAGTATCTAAGCCATGGAGTTTCACAATCTGCATAGATTAATTTCAAATGAAAATATAGCACAAGGACACAATAAAACTAATGAACTGTACAGTTCAAGCTTCCATGCCTCGTCTTTATTGCCATCATTTCTGAACGCCAAAGTCCGCAAGGCCCCAGCAGCTGCTCTTTGTACTTTTGGCTCAACAGAATCAAGCAATTCGACGAGAGGTGGAATGCCGCCTTCAATCCTGAAGATAAAGTGAAGGATTCAAGGGGATCATAACCAGGGAAAAGAATAGGTTTTTAGTCATTCTTAAAGGTAATGCAGTGAAACCATACCTGACTAATGTTTTGATGTTACTGTTCTCGTGTGCCAGGTTTGTGATGGCATCAGTTGCTTTCCTAATAACCAGAGGAACAATTCCAGAGTTGAGATGACTCTTGTGCCTCTTAAGAAGAGCGATAAGGAGTGGCAAGGCTCCAGCATCCACGATGACTTGTTGATACTGAGGCTGTTTAATAGAAAAATTAGAATCATCAACAGGAAAAGATTGCATAAGTAGAAGACAGCCCCCCCAACCACAAGGTTAACCGCAGTTCCAAAACTGAAAGATAGCCTCAAATTGAAATTATAGCTTCATTACATAAAGAGAACTGAGAACTTGACTGGAGAGCTTAGTTTCTCTATCTTTTACAGGGAAAGCAACGAGCTTCAATTTGTTCTACTCGCTACACGATTATCAGGCGATTGTAGTGAAACACTGATAGAAACCTAATTACGCTAAGGGAAACAAAAATATAGCTGATTAATCTCCCAAATCGCAAGCTACCATGCCTAACGAAACAAACAAAACGTTCCGTTCTTGAATGAACAAATGGTAGATTGGGGTCGGTTACCTGTATTGCAATAAGGGCAAGAGCAAACGAGCAGGCCTTCTCCACCTCGAGCTGGACTGGATCGAAAGCACCATCTCCACTCACATCAGGTGGCGTCTGAAGTTGCATAACCAGCGCAGACACGGCACCGCAATCCACAATCGTCTCAACGAAATCCGCTGCCAGAAAAAAAAAATAGAATCCAATCGTCAATTTGCACAGTCCCGGCTAGGTTCCCAGCACAAAAGAAATTCAAGGAAGTACTGACCGTTCTTGGCGAGCTGGGAGAGAAACTGAGCGGCGGTCCTGGAGGCGGCGCGATCGGATTCGCTGGAAGAGAAAGTGGAGTTAAGAAGGCGGACTTGGGATTCGATCTCGCTCCTCTTATCCTGCTGCGGGACGGCAACGTCGGATTCAGACACCATAACCTTGCGGTTTCTTCCATCCTCTTGGGCGAACTCTTGCTCCAACTTCCGCTTCAAGATTCGCTTGGCGGTGGTGGTCGATCGACGGTCCATGGGAGCAGAAAGGAAGAGAAAGCTAATCCGGTGGATCAGACGGGAGAGGGAAATAATTGGCTGACTGTGTGGGTGTAGAATAGGGGAAGGGCGAGGTAAAAAAATTGGCATTTCGGAGCGCGGGAAAATTGAAGGGGGGAAGCGGTGGGTGGGAGCAAACGTCCCGCCTAGACTGAAACTTTTGGTTTCGGAAATTCTAATTTGATATCTTCTCTTTGCCGCCTTCCCGCCATGTTAAAACTGTAGCCCTCCATTTGAGCTAGCGCGTGAGATGATATATGAGTTAGGCTCTTCTTTTATGGAATAAAAGGAGGAAGGAGAAGTCTTCTGAATTTCTTATTTCTTATTTAATGTTTTAATTTTTAATTTTTAATTAATAAGTTACGTGGATGTTGAGGTATTGACGGAATATATGTTTGACCGTTAATATTAATCGTCAACACAAGTTTTGGGTCAAATTTGTACAATAATTTCAAAAATAGGCCATAAATGTCTTATTTGAAAAATGAGACCAGAACTATCACTTACGCTAAACTTCGGGCCAAACTAGGGTATTAACCCTTAAAGTTATCTTGAATATTAATGCCGAGTTATTTGTTAAAGATTAGGATTGATATTGATTTTAGGGTGCTATTTGGTATATTCGTGGTTGTAGGATGAAATCGATATATATTCAAATATCGTAAAATACCTAAAATTTATAACTTATTAATTATAATTTACAATTTATAGTCATTGCTCACACTTTGAGCCCCATCCAATCCAAATTTAGTTTCCAAAATTTTCTAGGTTGCTTGCTCTCATCTCTCGCTCACTAAATTATTATTTTCATAACACCAAAAAAAGTGTATTTTATTGGTCGTTTTTCAACCATAACTCCACCAGATCAAAAATTATCAAGGGCAAGAAATTGTGATATCATTATCCAAATTCCAATTCCTTCTCTTTGTCCCCATCTTAACTTTAGGCAACTCAAGACTATTTGTTTAGTCTTGACCTCCCGAATGGGCACTTGTGACGAATCCATTCAACTGAGATTTTGACTGAATTAATTCAATAGGGACTTTGATTGGTTTATATTGAAATTTTCTGACCTCAACTGATCATCGCCAAGGTTTTCCATTATGGAATTAAACCTACATACCTACACCATATAAAATGTTCAGGATTGAAGTGTTCGAACAATTATTATGTATTTATTTAATTATCAATTGTGTAGATAATTAATATGATATTCGGTAATATTGATATCATACCAAAATATTTTGGGATTGAGATTTTGAATATTTTTATGATCGGGATTGAGATTGATTTTATGACGCTACTAAGTATTTGGAATTTGGTATTTGATACCGAGATACTAATACATACTTATTTTTACCCCTAGTCGTGACCGTGCTAAACTGCTAATTATTATATTATTATTATTTGTTGTACAGTTGGTCAGTGTATGAATGTTTCATAATCGTATTTTATCATATCAGTAGGTTAAGATGATTAAAATTATTTATTTTAGAATAAGATATATAAATATTATAAAGAATGCGTATCGTCCAATTTTATGATGTTAAGCAAACAATCGTAGTGATATTGATAGACCATTATTTGCACATGTTTTGACCACCATTTCTTGAACCGTTTGAGAGTCGATTCTCGTGTTTTAGGCCGATTTCACACTAGGTTGTTCGTTAATGTCATATTTCAGGGCTTGGAGTGGATATGGAGGCGTGGGAACGTGTTTCGGGTCGGAAAGTGGAAGGCTGGAGCCAGAGGAGCTGTCAGGCGGAAATACCCGGTCAGGAGCTGAAATACCCGACCGGGTAAAACGTGAAGGGAGGCCGGGTAAAGCGTGTTTTGGAGGCCAGGAGATCAGAAGGGGTCCCGGCCGGAATGCATAAATACGCAGTCGGGTATTCTGGATCTCGATCGGGTATTCCCCTGTGGCCACTGCGCTACGTTTCGAAATACCCGGTCGGCCTCCTGAAATACCCGACCAGGTATTATGGCCGGGTATCGCGATCTCCACCCTTTTGAGGGAAAAAGGCCACTTTTGGAAGGGATCCGAATTTGAGAGATAGAGAGCAGAACCCTAGAGAGAGAAAGTGACGAACCAAAATTCCCAAGTGACCTAAATCGATCTTCAACACCATTGGAGCTCGGTGGGAGCTTGGAGGAGTGTCGATTGATTACCAGAAGCAGATCTTCATCCTTCACAAAATGAATTCCGCATCTGAAGCAGATTTCTCTTCACTATCTATGGAGTAAACTCTCTCACTCACCTGGGTATGAAGAACCCTAGATTTGTATATTAGGTTTGGTTGTATGAACCCAAGTATAAGTTCTTTGATATTGAATATATTCAATTGAGGCATGGTTTTCTGAATTGCATGAATACTGATCAAATTTATGTTCTTCCTACTTTGACCTAGAATGAGAATATCTGCCTAGGTTGATAGAGCACTCTTGATTGAAGGTAGTGAATTGACGACTTTAGTCAAGGAGTCGATTCACTATTTTGTACTGGATTTATTCCAGTAGAGGAGGTTTGATACGTTAGGGCCTTAGTCTGTTTACTCTGGTGGAGGTTAGTCGCCATCTGGGGACTCAAATTGAGAGGGTCTGGAGACCTTTAGTCGAGACTGCTGACTATCTAAGAACCTCCCGCAGTATAATTATCATTGAATCTGAACTTGGCAAATTGCAACTTGGCTTAACTGCAGTCTAGGTGGAACCATATATGGGTGACCTCTCTCAAACTTGGAACACAACATTTACTGCTTTTGTTTGCTAGTTTAGTTGGAACTTCACTACAGTTGAACCGCTAAATAATAAGAATCTTGCGGAGTAGTCATCACACCTAGGACCCAGGTTGACATTTGAACCTAAGCCCGCTATACTACGCATTAGTAAGTGGTTACTCTTGGCCACTTTCTAGTGTGACGGTACAAGCGTGTCAGATATCATACTATCAGGCTATATTAAATTAGTACGATATTAGTTGAATATATTATTTTATTTTAATAATATTATATACTGATATGTTATTAGTGAAACCATGATTATACCAAAAAATATCATTGTCTTATATGACCTCCGATACGGTATCATAAACAACGAGTAAAATGAATTTCTATTATTTATATTAATTGGTTTCTGTAGATATTTGTATAATTTTAAAGTTTTTGTAACATACATTTACAAAGCATAAAGTATTGGTCTCTAATGTATGATTTCAATGTACTATTACCAGACATTGACTTATTCTAAGTGAATTACTAAATCATGACCCTAAGACCAACTGGTGATACTTAGACCAATCAAGGAATCTAATTACACTCGTTCATAGACCATAAGTGTTGAATTGGCAATGCTCTAAATCAACCCTAAGGAAATATTCTCTCACCTATAACATATAGCCCCAAATTGAGGGAAGTGATCATGAACCTTCAATTTTCATGAATAATACTCAAATCAATGTATAATCAAGATGCAAATCAAGGCGTAGGGTTCCCAAATAATCAATTACGACATAATTGACTAGAGTTCTACAACAACCAAGTGAATTAGAGGACTAATCCATGGCTAGAGTGAGGAAAAACAACCAAAATGGAGAAGACAATCATCGTGATGAGAAGATCTTGCTCTTTGGCTGCTTATGGTGTTATTGAAGATGAAATCAAGGCTCTTAGGTTGATGGGAAGCTCCAATTCTCCTTCAAGATCTCTTTGCTCGTCACTTTCTCTCTCTAGGGTAGAAGAAGAACCCTAATTTCTCTTGAGAGAGCCAACTCCTTCAGATATGATTTATCCTCTCTTTCATAGCCATAAGTGTAGAGTTCACGGTTGCCCGTCACGACCATGAACTTTGCAACAAAACCGTGATGCCGACCGAATGCGCACTGTTTCAGTTACACACTTCACAGTCTGGTTGAAATTTTCAGGCGCTGAGACCGTGAAGTTTGCAGTTGCCCGCGAGACATACTCACTTCCTGGGACCTACGATGTTCACGATTTTGGTGAAGTCTACATCTACCGTGAGACGTCCTGGTCTTATTAGGAAATAAATCTCAAACATGTGCTCTCTCAAACCGACTCAGTTCGTCATTCATAGTAGCAGTCCAATTTTCATCATTCAAGGCATCTAACGCATTCTTGGGTTCAACTAAGGAAACAAAAGCAGTATGCACGATATAGTTTATGGAGCCAGTAACCATGTTGTCATTTAGCCCACCTATCATTGAAGATGAAGGTTTTCGTTTGGCAATATGTAAAGGTGGTTGCCTTTCATCTTGCTCTCTCTGTAAGATTGTGATACATACTGCTTTATCTTGGTCTTTAAGGGCTCTTGCTCTATCCTTCTTTGGTGTCCTTGTCTGTTCATAGTTTCCACCGAGTCCAAAATCATATTCATCTATCTCATCTGCACACTCATTTGCATATTCATCAAATATAAAATTAATGAACTCTTCCACCTTCAAAGTCATTTTATGAAACACTCTATATGCCTTTCTGGTCAAGGAATATCCTAAGAACACACATTCATCGGATTTTGCATTGAACTTACCACTGCACAATCTCGTCCTTCCTGGGGTTGGCAGAGTATCCTCTACGGGCGGTAGTTACTAGAGCGTGGGTTATGGTGGCAGATTGGGAATGATCGGTCGGTGTCTATGTTGCACGCCAATTGGATCCCCCACCTGCATCCTGGAAACCTGACTTATAATCCTCAGGTGCTCCCATAAGGGGGTGATCTCAAGGTAGTAGACTTGTTGTGCCCTAGCGAGGGCAGATGGTATGACGATAAACTAGCTGAGTGGTTCCACCCAGATACCTGTCGAGCTATCAAAGCTATCCCGTTACCCCGTCAAAATATTGAGGATAAGCTCATCTAGCATGACAATGCGACGGGGTTTTCACTGTGAAGTCGGCCTATCACCTGACAGTGTTGGTAGATAAAGAGCATGGTAGGTGGAACCTACGGTTGGCAGGATGGATAGGCAAAGCTAGATCCGCCTATGGGGCTCCCCGACCCCCCCCCCCCCCCAAGTTGTGGCTCATTTCATGTCAAATCTTGCACTGATTTCTCCCAACAACGGAATCCCTCATTGAGAAAGATGCCCGATGCATCCCAGGTGTCCAGTTTGTTGGGCAGAGTCCGAAACGATGGAACTTCTCTTTCTAGTGTGCCCGGTGGCCATAGATTTGTGGGATCATGCAGGCCTGGAACATCTTGGCCAAGGACTCCCTCGACATGCTTTCCACCTATTCCTCAAAAAAATGTTAGTTCTTATTCAACACCTGCATCAAGTTATGGCATTTGTGGCCATGCTTTGGCGGATACAGAAATCTCGTAACTGGGTTGTCTATTAGGGCAAACAGTTTGGGATCCCAGCTATGATGAGACAATACCATCAACGGTTTCATGAGTTGAATGCATTGCAGTGGAGCGGGTGGTGCGCCCTCCCCGGACTAGGGACGGTGGCGCACAATTTGTCTTTCCGGGCTCTGTGCTATGCATGTGGGATGGGGCGACGAGACAAGGGTCCCATTCAGCTGGGGGGATGGTCCTCCTGGATCGGGATGGGGAGGTCATTTTGGATAATGGAGTTAATTTCACTAGTATTGATGATCTCATGCTTG